AAAGCGTGAGGCGAGGCGAAAGTGTGATGATGATGATTGAGTTATTATTTACCGTCAACATGGAAAACTGATGAGTAAGCCATGCCCACACCCTCGCAGCCGCACGATTTTGTGGCCTCTGGGAGAGAGAGAGAGAGCTTGAGATCACAGAGGGTGGAAATGAAATTTCACCCCCAAGAAACCCGACGAGCAACTTTTCTCTTGTGGCGAGATCAAAAGCTCTCTGGTGCTCTTTTGTGGACACACCAGAGAGTCTGTGTCAAGAGTGGTCAGAGGAAGACTTTCGGGAGGAAATCCTTACCAACTTCTTATGTTCTTCATCCACCGCAGGCCTCTCCGTTCCTTCCCCACTAATTGTGAGAATTGGAAAGTGAAGACTATTCATTGCAGTGCGAAGTGCAAAGAGATATTATGTTTCCTCAGACTGAAAGTTTAATAAGAAAATTATCACAGCTTTTCATCTATTGGGCAAAATCTCTCATAACAACTTGAAAATGATCGAAAGAGATCTGGAAATATTTGACAAAAGTATTCTGGTAAATCCGAAAGCACTATTTTTTCCTAACTGAAAAGAAGAAATTTCATCTCGAAATGTATTCAAAAAATTCCAAGTCACAAGCGTTTCTTAAGCAAGCTCAGCATAAAATTTCCAACACTTCCCAAAGACTCTTTCACCTTCCTTCCACCCAACCGTCGAGGATGTCTCATAATTCTCCACCCTCTTTGGAGAAACTTTCACGAGCACTACAGATTTGATTTTTGTTGGAATTTGCAGGAAGTTAATTTTCCTTCAGGGACACATCTCCATTCTTCAAGGGGGTGTAAATCTTATTCATGTTAATGGGTGGAAAGTAAAATGAAGTGCCATCCGACCCCCACTGGAAAGCTCTCTTTCTCTCTCACACTCCGGCAGATGACATCTGCCGTGATCGAGATCGTCGCTCGAGTGGTGGATCCTCCCGAGATATCATTGAGCCGCCCCTTCTCAACCCTTTCCGGGGGGGAGCGCCTGTGGAAACAAAGGCAAACTGTGTGTGTGTTGGTGGGGTGAATGCGGTGAGATGATGGTTTCATACAATTTACATAACAACTTGAGAGCAAGAATATGTGTTGAGAGATAATTCATGCTTATATCATTTCACTATGCTCTGACTGCGGCGGGGATGGAAGAAAGAGGGTGTGAGAGAGAGAGAGGGAGCGAGTGCTCTTCAAGCGCACAGAGTTTGGGGAGATTTTTGGTGGAAATTGCTATTTTGTTCCATGTTCCTCATCATCTCCGCCCCCTGGAAAATGGCGAGTGTGTGTTCTTCCAGGGACATGTGAATGCCATCTAATGTACGATATGAGGATGTAAATGCGAAATAATTTTGTATGAGACGAATTCTCAATGGTACTCACAAAATTTCCACGCACGATGCTTGGAATTTCTCATTCACACACTCTCACACTCCTTCTTTTTCTGACTTCACCAATGCCAAACATATTCAATCCATCGCGTCTAGGCGGAAAACTTCTCTTTGCGAAAGATGAGGAAACTTTCCCTCTTCACGCATGTTGAAGGCTAGAGAAAATGGTTTTCTTCACAGCACAGCAAATGGAATTTTCTTCAAGTGTGAGAAGAGAGGACTTTACAAATTCCTCGACGACTGACATATATGTATATCGTGCCATTTTAAGCTCTTTAGCATTTTAAATTTTAATTTGATTCAACAACTTTTGACTCATGCTCATTATCTGACACAATATCATGACATTTGCACATTCTTCAACACCCACTCTTTGGCTTCCAGCTCTTCAGACACGAAGACACCCTTCTTTTCTGGGGGTGGAAGAAAGCTAATGAACAGAGTCAGTTACTTAAGTTTTCTTTGGGCAAAAACACAACTCCATCTCACTTTCCGGGGGTGAATAAATTCAACAGAGGGAATGTATAAAATTATGCTTTATTATCCAATCTATGTTCATGATGCACATTATTGAATTGTAAACCAATTAGTGTTGTATTTGTTTAATTACACGCATTACACAAATTTACGGTAATTGGGAGAAAGCCTATTAACAATATCCGGCAAATATTTTATTATTATTTTCCAAGGCTGATGAAATTTTAACATTATTCAATTTATATTTTCAATTTGTTAATATGAGAGTTGTATAATTTAAATGATGAGTTTTCAGAGCAATTATGCTATTTTTTTCGACAGAAATACAGAGCAATTATCTAGGAATTTCAAAATTTTCTGACAAATTTCACATTGAAACTCAGTTAGTTTCACTTTTCCTTTTGTGAATGTCTAATGAGAAACATTCACCTGTTCGTCAGTGAGAAGATGTGGAACACAATCACTGAGAACATTCGGTGGGCGGTTTGGTGGGTTGCGCTCTTGTGAAAATCCCCCGGATTTCCATCTTCGCGAAATCAGACACAATTTGGGATGGAAATTCGAACATGAGGCGCGAATGAGGGCTGACTCGGATGTGGTTGGAGTTGATGGCACAAGGAATGTCTTCGGGAATTAATTCACCTTCTAAAGTGAATTGAAAGAGATGCATGTCAAAGAGAGAGAGAGAGACGATGGATTGTCTTGATAAGCAATTGCACTCTAGGCGACTGTTAAACAATGCAGAACCATCCGCACTAAGGATACACCATCGAGTGGAAGGTAAAATGGTTTAATGACGATGCAACACTTTTCTCTTGTGCGTCCCAGAGTCTAGACTCGAGTGGCGCCAGTAATAATTGCAAAATGTGAAACTTGAGAGTTTTTCACAAGCCATAATTCGTCATGTTGTTGAGAGAGAGAGAGAGCGAGAGAATGAATAAATTATCCATGGCGGAGATTCGTGACACATTTTCAATTACTCCTGAGTGAAAGTCATACACAACAAGATAGTATTAATCGCCATGGCATAAATACTTTATAGCATTCTGCCTGTCTTTTTATGTCTTGTGCTCAGGATATTAAATATTTACTCTCTGTCTCTCGCCCCTTTTACTTTCACTCCAATTCAGTCCGTGTTCGGAGGTTTTTCACGCGAAATGTCACTGTTTTTGGCGCTCGAGGGACGGCAAAAGTGGCGGGAGAGGCCGAATGAAGAGAGAGAGAGAGGAATTTTATTGGGGAATTCCAAACAGTTTTTCAACCATCTCTCGACACTGGGCTGAATTATCACTTGAAAAGTAATCAATATAAATAGACTCACCGTTGAATTTATGGTGAGAATTTATGGGCAGCATTTTCTATTCTTATCCACAAATACGATCTCTTCACACTGTTGGGAAGAAAGTTTGCCAAAGGCTTCCGCATGGCCAATTTTCCTCTCTTCATCCTCAATAAATTTTTCATTAATATCTTCCTCTCTGTCGCACACACACACACACACCATGAAAGTGCTGGTGTAATTAGATAATCTCGTGGAGAATAATAAGAAGAATTAAGGCATTTAATTATTTATTCGGGAGAAAATTATTCACAGCCGATGAAAGAGTGCTTTTAGTCGAGGTGTGAAAATTTCACACAATTAAATAATCACACGCAAGTAAATTCAATTAGATTGTAAGACTTTGGCAGTTCCAGGAGAGAACATCCTTCGCGCTAAGGAAGGGGTGAGAAGGAGACGCTCTCTGTGTGTCCTTAATTTGGCTGCCGGGCCTTTTGGCGTGTGTGTGTGTGTGTGCAAGTGAAAAAGAATCCCAAATCACATTTTCCCATCATAAAGTCACCCCTTTTATCACCATTTCCACTTTTATGGAGTCATCCGAAAGAGAGAACCCAACCTAATTTTGTTTTTCACCACACAATAACCCCACCCACTGTGTCTCGTGGGCTCAGGAAGGCAGAATTGCTGATAATTTTGGATTTCAATTTTCCAGGCAGTCATCCTATCTCCCAATGTCGATACATGAATATGCTTCATCCACCCATAATACTCATTTCTGCTTCCTTTCATCCCTTTTTCCGATACTTTATTACATGGAGAAGAAGAGAGAGAGAGAGTGTGTGTGTATCTCACATTGGGCGCCTTTGGAGCCTTCAATGGATGTCTAAAAGGAGTGTCTGCTTGTGCGGAAAAGGTGGCGAAATTCTGTCTTACTCGTTGTTTCATTCAAGGGGGAGAAAATATGCACATTTTACCTTATTTTCAGGATTTTTCGACACTTTCCTGGAATAATTAAGAATTACATGGAATCTTTCTGACACAAAAGAATCGCAGAAAACTTCAGCACAAATTGTGAGGAAAACTTGGTTGAAAAAGGAGTTTGTTTCCTTGAAACTCTGTTTTATGATGCTGAATATTTGATCATGATTCTATTCAGAATTGAAATTTAGCGGAGATGATAATTTTTAAGGTCTTAGAATAATAATTTTGAGGTTATGTGTGCATTTCACACTCTTCTTCTGATATATCGCTGTAAAATAGATTGAAATAAATGCTCTATTCTGCGAATTAAATTCAAACGGCATAAAATAAATACAGAAATTGATACTTAGAATCCCATTGAAATATTGATAATATTTAAATACTTCTGGCGCATCAAAATATCTCCCCCTTTGTCTTATTGGCTGTACACAATTTTCCTCCTTCTTTATTTGGGCTCAATGTGGCTTATTATTGAAAGGATTGTAGAGAAAATAAGGGTGGTTGTTTCTCTTGCCGTTTCTCAGTGCTCAACTTGACACAGAACACAAGCACACAATAATCTTGATCTTAATGTTGACGGAATATGAAGTCTTTCTTGCCATCATGACTCAACCATCACGTATTCCATTGCGTGCTGAATGACTTGCCTTTTCCGGCGAATGCTGACAAATACCAAGAAAAATCTATTCAGAGGTGCGATGATAAGACTTAATGAGGATGAGTTCCTCTTCGCGCCTTCATTGGCAATTTCATGACGTGCGCTCCATTTGACACTTTACGCAAAATTACCCCCAGCATATCATGGCCCAACTCTGGGCGCTGCAGCCGCCTTATTTATCACGTGTGTGTCTTTGCAGGTGCAGATAAACAGGAGGCGCCTTCCCGCTCGGCAAGATGGCAGCTTTTGTGGCGAAACAAATGGTGGGGAATAAGCTGAGCGCCGTCAAAGGTGAGCTTAAGCATTTTTCACAAGTCTCTCATTCGCCATTCTGGGTAGTTATCTTGGGAATGGCGTGCAAAATGCTGCAGCATTCTCTGCCGAATGATATGCAAAACTTTCGAGAGAATGTCATTGGGTGGCATTTAGAAAATGCCGGAATTTTTGCCTGCATCGATCGTCCGGAATTGTATAATATTCCACAAACTGCATCGCCTGAATTTCCAATTCATCCCTCGCGGGAAAGAACTTATGGCGGACATGGCAAAATTCACATTGTTGGGGGTTTAATTAAAATTTTGCCTTCGCGAGTGTGAATAAAATAAGTTTTTTGGATTCTATTTGTCTGAATATTCACATCCGTGACGCGTGCTTCCGTGAGTGACAACAGCTCGAAGAAAGTGCGCGAGAATCAATTGCGTCTGAAATGTTGCGCGCTTAATTGAAAAGATATGCGGAGAGCAAGAAATTTGGCGCCAAATGAAGTGTCTCGAGGGGCTGAAGCAATATTTTGGGGGGTCGCGTGCGCGACAAAAGAGAAGCGTCTGTGAAAAGAAATTGGAATGTCAAGCACGATTTATATTTCATTTGAAATTACACAGTTCGTTGACTTGGAATTAAAATAATCCAAATGTTCACTAAAAATTCCTCCTCTCTCTCTCTTCTCACCCTCCGCCGTGCGCGATTCAATAATATAATGAAAAGCTCTCCCTGTGGGTTGATTCAAGCCCAAAGATTCCAAATGATTCTCTAAATTAAATGTTTTCTTGTACATTTTTCTGATGCGCACTTTTCTGTGAAAATCCTTGAATTTATACTTAAAGCATTCGCAGCCTCTTAAATTTCCTCTGCAAAATCCTCTGAATTTGTACAAAATCCTTTCTCTAGCTTTCATTGCACTGCAAATTTACCACGGAAAATATTGTTCAATTATTCTACTGGGGATTTTCATAAGCCATCTTCCGGACAGAGTGAAAATGTGTGGACGTTATGGGAGAGCCGTTGAAAAGCACAATCGGACAATGAGCTTTTCTTCCACCCTCTCTTCTTCTGCTCATCCCACTGGTTGGGACACTTTGAAGTTTTCAGTCGCCCAAGTTCTAAAATGACAAAATTGGAAAAGTTTACCAAACACACGAATTTTATTTCTTCACCAATTCAACTCATTCCTTTATCCCATCAGAGTTTCCTGAATAAACTCAATGCGACTAAATCCCCATTGTTCTACACACTTTTGCTGATGTTTTGGGGAAGGGTGGGAAAAGCTCTAATTTGGCACGATGGTTGAGCAAATTTCTGGCGGAAAGGTTGTGTCTTTTCTCGCCCACCGCGCGCACAAGGGAGACTTTTGTGTGGAACTTCAGGGCAAATCCCCCCGAAAATCCTTTTGCCACCAACACAGAGCCGTGTCGCCTAGGAATGTTGCTCATTTGCGTGTACATCGACTAATGCGAGGGCACTCGAGGGGAATCGCGCGGGTACAAGGTGTGGAGAATATCCACCTAAAGTGGTCGTTTAACCCCTTTAAAAAAAAGAACGTCATAATGTCTTTTTAAATCCCATTTTCGCTTATGGACTCTGGAGCTGGTGCGCCCGCTTTGGCGTGCTCTCAAGGGCGCGCCGCGTCACAAAATATTGTGCCAGTGATAAAGAGTCGAAGCGATGGGGCTAATTTTATTTAACAGTTGCCGCGCGGGGTGGAAAACCACCCGCGCTCTCTGCCGTCTGTTTGACGTCTTCGCCAGAGACGACAATTTCCTTGCGGTGGAGTTTTTCCTGACTCTCGCTGAGTGTGTATTTAATTTTTCGGCGGGGGGTTTGGGGTCCGAGGGGGCTCCAAATTGGCACACAAATATCACACTGGTGAGAACAATTATATCATCAGACGAGAGAAGCGCTGTGCGCGCCAAGGAAGGCGTGAGAACATGAGACTCAGAGATGATACTCTGGTCGTATAAGACAATTAATTTCAGCTGCTCGTAATTTAATAAGGATAACCACAAAATTCAATTCAACTCCGTATCTGCGCGCCGTGGATGGCAACTTGCCTCAGCTCTTATTTGAGCGTGTGTTAGTTAATTGCAAAATGTTGTTGAGAACTTGAGATAATTAAACCTACATTTGTCCCATTTTAAATGTGCCTGCAAAATTGCTCTCCCTCAACCCCCCGCCCAATGCTGGCGCGGCCGGCAAATACGGGGGCTAAAGCCGGTGGGGGTTTGAAATGGGCAAAAAATAAACATGCCAGGAAAATTTTCTCCACACGATGTGGATTTTTGCTGCACGAATATAAAATACATCGTCACGGCCGAGAGAGTTGCACAGAGGGTTGCAGGCAAAGAGTAAAAACACCCCTTCTTGTTTACTACAATTTTCACGCGTGTGAGAATTTCTCACCGGCAGCTTTTCGCCAAACCCATCAGATGATTAATTGCGACAAGAAATGCAAATAGAGTGCATTTGTTGTGTGCAATTCCGCCTGAAGAGTGGCTCGGCAGAGAAGCTTTTTTGGCGATTGCACAGCTTTCAGCCGGCGTCTTCACTGCCCACGAAGATCTGGAAGGAGGGTGCAAAGCACACCCTTTCGCCTGGGACTATCCCTCTGGGTAATTTCTCACTGTTAATCCTTTACAAATGTATTCGGTTGGGAAATGGTGTACCATTAAAAATATTAAAATTACATAGTTCGAATTGCGGGGGGTGAAATTTATTTCTTAAGGCCCAGAGGGGGTGTTTCTGGCCTCATAAATATCTCAAAATCCTATGAAGGGTGGAACAACAAGTGTTATCTATCTTCCCTTGCCCGCAACACACCTGAATATGTAATTTTTTGCCACCCCCGCAAACACACACCCCAAATCTCAAATTCGTCTCTGCGAACGGCGAGGGAAAGGGGGCTTTATATGGGCCTTCGGTGTGTAATAAAGCCTGGGCGGGGGTGAGACTTGGGCTCTGGTGGCTCGTGGTTGATTATCAAAGTGGTAGGAATCATAAAACACGGCGCCTCCGCTGAGAATAGAGAATGAGCCTGGGATGCCCCTTGGAAGGGCTTTTGTCTCTCATTGCGGGTGCCGCCAATAAATCATTTTATTTTCCCGCCCCCACACTTGGGGATGCCGAGTGTGATCACATTTTGGGGGCAACGAAATGGCACACAAACAAGAGGAATAAATAACTCTGAGGCTTGCTTCCGTTCGAATAAAGGTCGCAACATACATATTTTTGCCCCTTTTTGCACGGGGGTGGAAAGAAAAAAGAGGTCAGTGGTGAATTTTGTATAGTTTGTTCGTCTTTTTGTAGGAGAAAAATCGTCATGTCATTGTGATTTGGCATATGATTGTGCCTCTTAAAGTGGCACTTATCTGATTGTGATTGCATGTTGAGCTTTTTTCTCAAATTGATGCCATTCCATGGTGTAAATGTTGCAACCGCAGCACTTTGCTCGGTCGAATCGGTTCATAAAATTTTCACATGACCAGTTTAAAATGCAAGAGAGGGCGACAAACAGCTCCACTTGCCAATTTCTTTCCCGTGACATGATTGGAACAAATTGAATGAAGGCATCAATCTCATCGGTGTTCGTGTAGTTTCGCTGCTTTGCTGGACGAGAAGGTATATTACAGACGAAGAATCATGTAATATAGCTCAGCAATTTGAAGGGTGTTTTGCACCAACAGATGCAGAGACTGAATGCCAAGAAAACTACCCTCGTTTTGGGGGAGAGTTTTAGTGTTGGAAAATCTGGATGAGACGTAAAAATGGCATTCAATTGTAAGTTACACTTCGTCTGTTCGGTCGCCCATTCTGTGTATTGAATTTCGATTTCTGTTGATGTATCCGAAGTTGAATGGGCGAACAGCAGAAAGCTTTCTCCAAATGGCTGTGTTGTATGATAAACTTACACGGTCCCTCCATGTTACACACTTTGGGGGCACAAGAAGACGGCCGAGAGTGGAGGGACGACGGTAATTGAGTACATAAATCTTGAGAATGGTTTAAATTTACAGAAAAATAGTCAATGGCAGCTTCTCTTTTTCCGACGCTCATGCCACACTCTGGGGGCAGAATTTTTACGAGGTGGGACGTCCGAAATGGTGAATGGCTTATATGGGTGAGAATTCCATTGAATTGATCAACAATGATGTGTGGAAAGAGCTCCGCACACGTTTAAAGTGGGTGAGTTAAAATGGGATCAAGTTCTGTAGTCCAATCCATTTCCTCCACCTTCTCTCCCCGCCTTTTCAACCCCCGCAAAACCCCGTGCGCCATCGCACAAAACATCCCTTGAGCACATTATATAGGATTTAGAGCAATATCCAATGGGATTTTCATTGTTTTATTATTTGAAACTCCACTACAATTCCGTGAGTATTTTCAGCATTTGACCTTTCGCTGGGGTTGCGCTTCCTGCGAGTGGAACAAAGGCACCCATTGGCTTTCGAAGGATAGAAATATAGCGCGAGCTCTTCATTGAATTATATCGCACATCATGCCAGCCAAAGCCTGGCTTGGATACAATAAATTATAAATATTTAAACATGAAATGCAGCGCGTCTGTCGTCTCTCATTGCTTTTGGGACACAGACGGTGAGTTGAGTTGTCGACGGGTTAAATGGGTAAATTTATGCTCAAGCCATTCTCTCACTTACCGGAGCATTAAAATTCACATCTCGCCCGTGAAAGTGCTGAAATGTTTGCTCAACTTTTAATTGGTAACAACCAAAAATCTCCCACCGAAAACACACAAAACACATTTAAATGTTACACTGATGGTGATGAAATAGTTGGTGAGAAATTAGGGAATTATGCTAAGGGAGGACGACTTTGCAGAGAAAATTTCACGGGATCATTTCATTAAAGTTGCAAAGGAATTTTTGGTGTGTGTGTGTCAATTTAGAGCACGTGAAACTTCTGGGGATTCGCATGAATCCTTGTGTGTGTGTGTGAAAATGAAATTTGACGTGACTGAGGAAAAGTGAAATTATCTTGACAAGTCCTGCCTCATTATCCCC